GTTGTTAACATTCTAAGCAGTTCAGAGAACCGGTTGTTAGAAGAAACTACTGGCCTAATCCTGTAAGGAAGGTAGGAAGGAAACATTCTGGTGTTGTTGCTTATAGAAACTGCCTCTCCGTTAACCCTTATTACATTCTTGGCAGAACTAGCCTTCCTTTCTTTGCTGGTACTATGCTTGTGTGGAATGACCATTCAAAGTTACAATGGCACTCAAAAAAGTGACTTATGACTGTTTTTCACACTTACGACTGTTGCAGCATCCCCAGTCATGAGGCCAGGTGAGGAGATGCGTGCCTCGATGTGAGTGATACTGAGTTGGCCACACCCAGCCAATAACATGACCACCAAGCCATGTCCACCCAGTCACATGACCACCAAGCCATGCCCACCACCTAAGCCAAGCCCACAGAACCGGTTGTTAAAAAATTTGAATCCCATCCCTGGAAGAAGCTAACAATTATTGGATCATTTTCTACAGTTCTGTGGAAGAGGGGAGAGGTATAATTTTTTTCCTGCAGGAAAATTAAGCAGACTTAAGTAATGGTGTTTAAAAGCTGAAGTCCCCCTTGTGGCAGAAAGTGGAAATCAACTCAAGGTTCAGTTGTAACTAACAGAAACATGAAAGATGTTCTCTAAAGGTACATTAAACTCTTGTTGAGTTGCAACAGTTCTTGGGATACTTGCAGTAAAATTTCTATCTAGGACAATGTTTTCAATCATGACAACTTGAATATGTGTAGACCTCAACTCCCAGAATTCTATGTCTAAATCAGGAGTCTTCAAAGTTGACAGCTTTAAGACTTGTGGACTTCAGCTTCCAGAATTCCTCATCCAGTCATGTTAGCTCAGAAATTCTGGGAGTTGAAGTCCACAAATCTTAAATTTGCCAAGTTTGAAGACCCTTGGTCTAAATGGACTGATAATTGTCTTCCAGATTTCTGCTTCTGTTTTGGTTTTTAGTCGACTATCTGAACTTCATTATATAAACGAACTAAGAGGAAATGGACTATACTTAGTGGCGCAGTAGTTTGAATGCAGTACTGCAAGCTACTTCTGCTGACTGCTGGCTGCCTTCAATGTGGCAATTCAAATCTCACCAGGCTCAAGGTTGACTCAGCCTTCCATCCTTCCGAGGTGGATAAAATAAGGACCCAGATTTTTGAGGGCAATATGCTGACTCTGTAAACCACTTAGAGAGGGCTGTAAAGCACTGTGAAGCGGTATATAAGTCTAAGGACTATTGCTATTGGTATACTTTCTTTCAAACTTGGTGCCCAACCACTAACAAAATCTAACATAATCTAACAGAAAAGTAATCCTGTATATTACTTTATCCTTCAGTTATAAAACCACTTTCTCTGGAAGCCAACAATTATTCTATGGGCTAACAAGTAGACAGATGCTGCAAGGAAAGCCTGAGGTTCTTGGAGAAAGAATTGCTGTCCTTTTCATCCTTCAAGAAGAAATGCTAATAAGAGGGTTTAAGATCCAGAATGTGACTCACCAATCCAGGAAAGGTTCCTAGCCCAGCTGGCCTACGTTGAAGTGCTAAGTTGAGCAAAAAGGAGTCCTAATAAACCATCCTTCCCTCATTCATATTGACTCTATTCATAAGAAATGCTAAAATAACTTGGTGGTAATAATTTTCCAACTTGAGAAGAACATGGATAAAATAAAACCAACTAAGAATAAACAAAACATTTAAAATTAGTCTTTAGGATGATTTATATTCTTTTTTCATCTAGTCAGACTAGTATCAGATTTTAGTATGACAACAAGTGGTCAGTGCTGTAATTGAGGCAGACATTTTTATCTGTAAACCTCAACCTTGGCCTCAAATCCCATAATTACCCCTAAAAAGCAGAAATCTTCTGATCCTCTCTTGACTGGGAATTATGGATACAAACAACAAACTCATTTGAAGGGTACTGGTTTGAAATGGCTAGGGTAACTAGGGTAACTAGCAACTAGGGTAACTTTGGAAAGAGTGCAGAGAGGAGCAATCAAGATGATTAAGGGCCTAGAGACTAAAACATATGAAGACCTGCAAGAACTGGGTATGGCTAGAGAAAAGAAGGACTAGGGTGACACGATTGTAGTGTTCCAGTATTTGAGGGGCTGCCACAAAGAAGAGTGGGGTCAACCTATTCTTCAGGTTGCACCAGTAGACAAGACAAGACAAGAAATAATGGATGGAAACTAAACAAGGAGAGAAGCAATCTAAAACTAAGGAGAAATACCCTAACAGTTGTGGGTGCTTCATCATTAGAGGCTTTTAAGAAGAGACTGGACAGCCACTTGTCTGAAATGGTCTCTTCCAATTCTATTATTATTCTATTCTATTAACTAACCAATTAATATACTGTGCATAATACATAATTATGGACTAGGTTACAGTAATGATATAATTCCTATTACGTTGCTTTTGCTCCTTTATCAAAAGAGGTATGCCATATATTGTTTTCCCAAAATTAATTTTGTCTCTCAGAGGGAACAACTCTCAATAAGCCATGTCAATTTGGTCAGTCTGGACGAGTAATGTTAACTTTGTATGGGAAATGCTTTCCCTGAATGCCAAAATGGCACCTTCTCTCCTTGTATTTAAGAAAATTGTTTAAACCTTATTATTTCATCAAGTATTTCCTTCAGTTTGATTGACTATGGGAATTTATCTAGACACTTATATGTCTAGATAGTCAATAAATCAAAGAGATAAGAAAAGATTCCTTTTTTTAATTTTTCCTCCATTTCCTCCTAGGTGCACCAGCGAGGGGAAATCTAAACTTAGGAATTCAGATATATGATTTTATTTATGTCTGTATTTCTATAGTCCATTTTTTCAATCTCAGCTGCTGCCTCTAAGGAAATATTTCCAATGAAGTCCCATTGGCAATTTTCCAATTTTTACTGAGTAACGCACAGCTGTTGTAGAAGTAGGAAAGAAAAAAAAATGTAATCCATTTCTGGAACAGAAAATAAAATGCAATTTAGTGGATGATTGTTTTCTTAAACAATAATTAAACAGCATGTTCTATTTCCATTTGATTCCAAGCATATTCTTTGACTAATGTTGTTGTCTTTTATAAATAATAAGAATTGCACAATTGCACAAAGTAATCTAAAATAAAATGTTAGTTGAGCTGATAGTAGACCGGTTGAATTTAAACTCCTTCCCATCTCAGAAAAGAAGTTTGGCTCCTTTGAAGTTCTTGCTGGATTCAATTGTTGGTATATAATGCATAAGGGAAATGATCTAAGGAGATGGGATATAACCTTCCTCTAAAGTTCTGCCATTTTAATGTTCTACTGGGCAGATTTATTTTCCATCAGACTGTAGAATCAATTGGCAAAAAGTAATTTCAAGGCAGCCAAGCAAGACACTGCAGCAGTTCTTCATGCTACATAGCGATGAGATATCATCCTTGCAGAATGTAAAAAATAATAACAGCTAGAAAAGGACTCGAGATTAAAAATCAGAATTCTTTGAAATAAAAACAGTGTAACTGACTGGATGGCAGCTGCCATCCTCCATCAGGATTCAATAGTTGGTTTTCTTCTAAGAGGAAGCCTAGATTATCACTAGGTATCAAACTGTTCATGCAGAAATGCCAAGGAAACCCTGCACCTGACTCTGCTCTTAAGATTTCCAACAGCAGCCACTCAGCTGGCAAGCTGCAAAAGCAAGACCAATGGAAAAGGGGCTGTGAAGGATTTAGAAATTAGGTATCCTCTGACAGATTGCAGACATGACTGTTTCAGATATGGCCTTCCAATCCTGGCTGCTTATGATGACAGCAAGTGAGGATTAAACACCCAATTTGCTGCTTAATGCAGATGGATTTCAGCCTTGTGCAGCAGAACAGCTGCCAAGGGAAAAAATGAGCAAACAAACCAACGATAGTCTCAAACATAGGAAAAATGTGTCTGGCTCCTAACTCACCAAAGGAATATAATTTCATCCTTGGGGACCCCAGATTTACACAAATAAATTGTATTGTTTAAGTAAGGCTTGCTCTGCTATAAATTGGAGATGACCTTCTCAATAAACATGGAAAAACTGTGAAAGAATTAAAGGAGCACATCACAATGCGTTGGCTGGAATTCATGGAAATTGTAGTCTAATCATCTAGATGTCATCAGGATGAGTAAAACTGACCTCACCTATTGTTAACTACCCAAACATAAAATAAATCCTGGGATATGCTATAAACATAAAACTTCTACACTTCCCTTAAGAAGGTCACAATAATGCTCAGATACAACCTTACCTGGTACTGTAGATTAGCAACATAAGTTCTTTTAAGGAATTCAGACAAAAACAATAGTGTTCTTCTCCCAAGTTCTGGCATAAAGTAATGTAGAATGTTTTCGTTCTAACTGTATAATTCTGTAGAGATATTTTTCACAGTTGTATTTTTAGGGGACTTTGCTTGCCAAGTCCCCTAAAATATTTGACATGATATTTTCCTCTGTGTTCTGGCTCATTCAGAGGGTACAAGTCCCTCTGACATTTTGGGATTCTTCTTGTCCCAAAGCACTGGCACTGACATCAAGAAAAGAAACTACCTAGATTTCACTATAATGAGCTTCAATCATATTTTTAAGAACAAAATAAATCACATTACTGTACTTGACTGAATTCTGTCTACTTTGCAGCTTTATTCTCCTTTCAAAATAAATACCAAATAACATCGTACAGCTATATATTTATATTATTTCCAGTGTTTCAGCACCATTAAGATTATCCATCTATAGGCAAATTACATGTCAAATCATACAAATAAAAACAATCTCAAATTAAAAAAACACTGCTGATCACGGAAGAAAAGCATAATTCTTAGTTTCTAAAAGCCCTGTCAGAAAAGTTATTTCAGCTTTCTAAAAGCTAAAATAAAACAAACCAGATTGTTAGATTAGCCTACGTGTGACTACATACAGAATAGTTGATATCTGCATTTGTATTGCCAGGGAAATGATGCCATATGAATCATATATTAACACAAATGACACAATGATATAATTGTGTCACAATGCAATCTGCTACAAATTAACAAAAGCCCAGTATTCTCGTCCTTTGCCCAATGGCATCAAAATGACACACATCCCTTCATTTTGATACCCTTGAATCTTCTCCTGGATGAATGTTATGGACCCTTTCCTTATACTGTACAGTATACTTCCATTGTCCTCACCCATCAGGAGTATTCAGTTTTGACAAAAAATGTGCAGATATTCTTTTTAAAAAAAATTTTTTAGGACAGAGGTAATTGACAACCTTTAGATGACCACATATTTGTTTTTGGTGAAAGCAGACTGTGTTTGAGGGGTTACAAAAGAAGGTGACCAAGGCGCTTTTCCATGTGTAGTAAAGCCAGCAATGAGGGCACCTTCTTCCTGGTTTAGATGGAACATGTTTCTTTATTAACTGTTTTAACTGATTTTAAGGGTTGCATTGCATTTTCAAATCATACAAGAAGACTGAAAATATATATTCAAATCTTACAGGAATGAATCCAAGCATTGTCCCATAGTAGACAATTACAAAATTCATGTTTTACTGAAAGAATGAGAGAAAAAGAACCTTGGTTAGGGAGCAATGAAACAAGAGAAATCAAAGCTGTTTGGAAATCACATGAAAACCATGGAGATAAATAATAGCAGTGAGGCGAGACAGGAAGATCCACTCTGTACACTTGCAGAGTCAATTGTCTTTTGGCTCTTCTTCAACCAGAAGAAGTCTCCATTTGTGATCATGAAGCATTTTTATAATGTAGTACCGTTAAGAATTCCTGCTGCATGCACTGGTTTCCATTTACCCCCTATGTCAGGGGAGGACAAGATATCTCTAATGGCAACACAGGGATCTAATACTAAATTTGGCAGCAAAAGTATCCATTTTCATCAGCATAATTTTGCAGGATTGCTTTTCTCAAAAATATGAATCTAAATTGCTGTTCAATGTGATTCAGTAATATGTCTTCTCACTAAACTGCTTAATTGCCACACAATTTTCACATAATTAACATATAGTAAAGATCAAATCATTTGGCGTCTTTTAATTGTGCATTCTTTAAAACTGCTTAAGTTCTCTTTCATCACATGGGTTAGACAAGCCTCCCAAATGCTCATTTAGGAGCACTGGAAAGAGTGGAAATCAACCGACCAAACAAACAAAATGAAAATGATTTCAAAGCTTCAGAGTATGTGCTGGGAATTACTAAAAGGGTATCGTACCAGAAATAACTTTATATTGTGAAATACCAGACAATATGTTTCTGAACATTTGCTGTCTGGAGAATTTCTCCCACAGGATAGCAAAAAGTGCAATTTATAAATATATCCTTCCTTAGCATACGATTTTACCCCTTCTATCAAAGAATCATTCTGACCCCCTTCCCCCAATCACTAATATAGCTTACACATTTCTATGCCTGAATATACAGGTGTTACTAACATTGTAATTCAATTCTGTGTTTATTTGAAAGCAAATCCTCCTGTGCTCACTAACTCTATGCAAAGTGCATTTGCCTTCCATCTTGGGTTTACCAACTCATCCATCGATTCTGTCCCTATATAGCAATGGGCAGAACAGAATGTATTTTGTATATTTTTGCACAGTGATAATAGCTACTTAGACTATTATTCTTCTCTGCAATTCTTCCTCCAGTTTCAGCAATTTTAACCGCTCAGCTGGAGGAGTTGCAAAATAGGTTTTCTGTTCTTCTGAGTATTTATCTTTTACTTCAATAATATCCCGATAGCTCCAGTCCCGCCAGTGAAAATTGAATTTCTCTAGTAGTTCTATTCTTTTTTCTTCTGTTGGTACACAATCAATAGGGCTTTTCTGCAGCAAGAAGGGTACCTTGATATCTGGGAAAAGCAGAAGACCCCGAATTGCAAACCAACCTCCATAAGAGGGGTGAATACAAACACCATAGATCTTCTGAAATGAAAGAAAACAAGTTTAAGACATGATGCTCAAAGATGCTCAAATCCTATGCAGAAAAAAGACAATGCTGACTCGGTACATTCATCATGTTAATCCTTGGATTGTTAAATATAATACAATAGCTGAATTCACACAACACCTTATGTCTAAAGTAAATAAACATTTCAGGATTCTGGCAGTTACTCCAATTAAATCATGAGCCTCGAGCCATATTCCCCAAACTGCAAAGGATTTATTAGAAGTTAACATGCAGACATTAGCCTGGGCATAGCCGATTCTGAGATACGTAATTCACTGTCACCCTTGATCCTGCTTTCCCCCCCCACTCTGGGTGTATCATCCAATGAAACACGTCCATAAACAAGAGTCATCAATCATGCTCTCCAATTAGATTTTTGCCCGGCAGAAGCTTCAGTCATCTAATCAGTCTCTGAAGAAAATATGAATGGAAAGGGCGTTGGTACTTACCTGGCCCGCCCGTTCTCCTTGAGCTGCGAAGAGCATCCAGTAGTGGGAGGTGCTTCAGTCTCTGCTTGTTTAGGCTGGGCTTAATTTGCGGAACGCTCCTCCTCCTCCACGGGACTCCTCCCCAGCGTTCCCCAGTTTTGGTGAAGACGAGAGAAACAAACACCCTTGCCCTTAATACGGTAAAAAATTGTTGGCCGAAACAGGATCCCACCAGACAGAAGAGGGTGGGGCTGGATGCTCTTTGCAGCTCAAAGAGAACAGGCATGTCAGGTAAGTACCAATGCCCTTTCTCCCACGAGCTGCTCAGAGCATCCAGTAGTGGGACATACCAAAGCTTGGCCTGTCCTAAGGGAGGGATTCCGTCTGTCTTGGGATCCCCTCCTGGTCCCTGTGGACCCATTGCAGAACCCTTCTGTCAAAGGAGGCCTCGGCTGATGCAAACACATCTATTTTATAATGCCTAATGAAAGGCGATCAAGAGGCCCAGGTTGCGGCACGACAGATGTCAGTGATTGGTGCCTGCATGGCCCATGCTGCCAATGTTGCGGCACTCCTTGTTGAATGAGCTGTTATGCCCCTGGGCACCTGTAGTGATTGAGTCTGATACGTTTTCGCTATTGTGGCCCATAGCCAACAACCTATTGTGGAGGATGAGACCTTGCATCCCTGATTATTGAGCTGAAAAGACACAAATAAAGCTTCTGTTTTCCTGAAAGAGGCTGTGTGGTGAATATATATTCGCAATGCTCGCCTCACATCCAGCCGATGCCATTGTCGTTTCAGCCCTTGGGGTGGCCTGGGACAAAAATTAGGAAGTATCAGTTCTTGTGCCCTGTGAAGGGCTGAATTAACTTTGGGTATGAATGTAGGATCAGGATGAAGGATGACCCTGTCGGAATGGAAGACGCAAAGATCTTGTCTGATCGACAAGGCTGCCAGTTCCGAAATACGACGAGGAGAAGTGATCGCTACAAGAAAAACTACTTTATACATCAGAAATTGGAGACTTGACGATTGCAAAGGCTCGAAAGGGCACTTAGTGAGTGCAAGAAGGACCTTGTTAAGGTCCCAAGTGGGATAATGGTGAACCGTTGGCGGGCGGGTGTTTCCTCGCAGGAAACACTGTATGCATGGATGATGGGAAAGAGATAGGAGACCTTCATAAGTGACGACTGACGCCAAGGCTGCCACTTGTCTTTTCAACGTATTAGGTGATAATCCCCTGTCAAGCCCCTCTTGTAAGAACTCTAGGATTTGAGCCACAGATGGAGAAATGGGATCAATTTGAGACTTGGTACACCATTTGCAGAAACTGACCACGTGGCATTACAGATCCAAGTTGTTGAGGGACATCTGGCAGCTTGGATGGTGGCGATAACTCTGTTGGAAAACTTTTCAGACGACTCCGCTCAACCTCCAGATGGTCAGGTGCAACTATTGAGGGTCCGGATGTTGAAGGGGCCCTTGGGTTAACAAGACCCTGTCTGGAGGAATTCTCCATGGTGGTGATACAGATAGACTGCGGAGGTCTGCAAACCACGACCGTTTGGGCCAGTAGGGAGCTACCAGAAGCAGCTCCGCCCTCTCGTCGAGCAGCTTCTGGATGACCTTGGGGATCAGTGGAAATGGTGGGAATGCATACGGAAGCCCCAGGGGCCAACGGCAACAGAGCGCATTGAAATTCTCCGCTCCTTGCGAGGGGTATCTGGAAAGAAATCTCGGGAGCTGAGCGTTGAGGGGGGAAGTGAACAGGTCTACCACTGGCTGCCCAAACGTCCTGACCGCCTCTTGAAAGAGGGTCGGATGGAGACGCCACTCCGATGGATCTATCGTGGCCCTGCTTAGCCAATCTGCCTGTGTATTCGACAGTCCTGAAATGTGTTCTGCTCTGATGGAAATCAGGTTGCTCTCTGCCCAACGACACAAATGCTCTGCTTCTCGCATGAGGTGTTTCGACTGAGTTCTCCCCTGTTTGTTTATGTGAGCTTTTGTGGTTACGTTGTCGGTCAATATTAATATGTGTTGGTTGTGTACCTGTGGAAGGAAGCTGCGGAGAGCCAGGTGTACTGCTCGAAGCTCCACATGTTGTAGGCCTGCTGCGATTCCCTGACGGATAGCCATCTCCATCCAGGTCTTCATTCACTCTGGCACATCGTCTTGAAGAGATTGTTCCTGTCGAAGACCGGCAGCCGTTGGTGTGAACGTCACTTCGGGTATTCTTCGCATGGTTGGTGATTGAGCTGACTGGGCCTGTTGACTCTGGGGAGCCACGCTGCGCCTGGATGAGAGGGAGAGGTCTAGGGGGGTAGGAGGGAGGAAAGAGGAGGACGGCTCTGGACTGTGGGGTGAGGAAGCTTGAGAGGTCCTGTGTGCCTCCCATGTGCACTTATCTATTTGTTTTTCCAGTGCCTTGCGGCGCCTGTTGGCATCCTTTTCTGATGCCTTAAAAGTCCCTTTTTTTTAATTAGGATTGTGTTGAGATTTGGACTTGCCCCTTGAAGTTGAGGTGTATGAACCACTATCCCTTGCCATTTGATTGTGGAATGAACAGTACGCTCGTTATTAAATGCTATATTGTGTCGGCGGTTGGCGCGCCCAGGGACCTGGCCAAGAATGGACAGGGTGCCCTGAAATCAAATCCCCCCCCTTTTTAAATATGGATATCTGCTTCAAAATTGAGTTGTATCTCAACAAATAATTTATTATTGTTATGAAATTGCTAGTATTATTATATTGGTATGATTAATATGATTATCTTAGTATTATTATTATCAGAGCATATGGGTATGCAAATATATATCAAATTTGGATGTCCCAATCAGCCAAATTGAGAATGCCAAGCAGGCCAAATTATCACTCACAGGCCTTCAACAGCTTCCCTGCATAGGCAGACGCTGGCCTAGGTGCTCGCTGTTGTGCCGCTGGATAGGGAGAACTGTGAGGGTTGAGCCAACAACACGAATTAACGAAGGCCTCGAATGGGTTGGAAATGAGGTTGAAATGATTCCTCGGGGTATTTTGTGTAAAAAACCCCTTCAATCTGGAATAAGGATTACCTCACACAGTCTATTGAATTAGCACTCAACGCGGCCACGCGGTCCCTTCTCAGCAAAAAAATGGCGACTGGACATTATTTGTGGCGCGCGCCCCAGCAGCAATCTCCCGCTGAGAAAAGGGATAAGCTCCAACAGCTTTCCCTTAGGGCTAAACCGGCAGGGAGGGATGAAAATAACCAGGCGATTACCCCTCCACCCCTAAATGGGGTGCTGGGGGGGGGGGAACCTACGATACGATTCAGGAGAGAGCGAGAGAGAAAAAAGCCGCGCCGTTTAAATGTTAAAACGGCTCGGCGATCATAATGGCAAGGGTAGGGCTAGCGGTTAGGGGGGCAGAATGAAATCGAAGCCTCCTTGCGTTTAGGAGCGCAAGGAGCGCTTCCTGATAATGCGATCCCCGACGGCCAGATGGCAAAGGCAGCATCGGTAAGTAAAAGAACAATTGTTAGAAGGAGACGAAATTGACTATCTGCAAACCTTAACGAGAATTCTCCTGTTTCGGCCAAGGATTAATGAAAAGCACTGCCTATCTCTCACGAGGCTGAGCCAAAACTGGGGAATGCTGGGGAGGAGTCCCATGGAGGAGGAGGAGCGTTCCGCAAATTAAGCCCAGACTAAACAAGCAGAGACTGAAGCACCTCCCACTGCTGGATGCTCTGAGCAGCTCGTGGGAGAATGTACAGTACTTTTGATTCCACACTGCTGCTTGCTCTTTGAAACTCCCCCCCCCTTTCTGTTGACAACTATAAAATGTGTGTACAAAATGTTTTATGAGTTGACAACTACACTAAATAGATAAATGGCTACAATGTTATGTTTTTCAAAAGGTAACTGTGGAAGTTTACTAACAGGATTTGACCTGGAGTTTTCTACTGCAACCATTTTTCAAACCCTCACACCTATAGAAACTTGCCTTTCAGTTACTTTAAGAAATAGTTTCAAACAAAGTTGAAAACTAGTAATGAGAGGTTTTACACATTCCTTTTGTCCCATTATTACATAAAGTGAAACAGGGTTTGCATAAAGGCTTTTGAAATCATATATTGCTTTGGAAAAACAAAACAAATTAGGCACCTATTTGACAGCAGTATACAAAGTAGGTTACTAATTTATTGTCAAATAGTACAACTAGAAATCTATGAATATTAACTTGAAAATAAATCCACTAAATTCAGTGGAATAATTCCCAAGCAAGAATATGCAAAAATTGTTACCGCAGGAGAATGGCAAATTTATCAGACAAAGGGTCATAATTATTCTTGGGGGAGAATATCAGGAACTACTTGTCAAATGGGGACAGAGACAGAGATACCCCTATTCTCCCAGCTGTTATTCAAGTCATTCAGCCATTATACATGTCTACACCAGAATATAATATTTAATAAACAATAAACCTGAGTTCATTGTTACGTACTCTCAGAGAAGTGAGTACTTGATTAGATCTTTACAGTATTTGGTTGTGAATATTTTTAAACATTAGATTTAATGTATAATTTTTAAATGATACATGTATTTTTATTACTTGATCTTGGTTTTCTCTCAAAAAAACCGAGGGCAGGTATCCCAATTGTTTAATTGCTGTGTTGTTTCCCTACAGGAAAAGCAGGACTTACATTTTGGAACTAAAAATTTGCTATTTAAGCTATGAAACAGTCAGGTGCAGAATAATACTAAACATCTGTTTTCAAAAACAGAAATAATCTAGAAGTTGGCTCTCAACTATTTGTACCATAAGATTGATAATGTAAATATATATCTAATCTGACTTTCATTTGTATGGGAATATATAAAATAAGTGGTCAATTATCAAGCTATAATCCCCTTCTATCTTGCCAACCCTGTTAGACAATCCTTTAGGACACCTTAATATTTATCTGCCACATGCAGTGAAACAAGCTCTCTATATTTTCATTCCTAACAGATCAAATCATAAAATCAAAACTAGTCACACCTGCCTATATTCCAGATGAAGATATATATATATACATTTATCATTAGAAAGAATTTGAATCCCACAACTTTATTTAAAAAAAAATCAAGTTATTTTCAAAAGTAACTTTTTAAATAATTTATGGAACATTATTAGATGCTGAGAAAAATTTCAAACTTTGGAGGTAAAATGTGCTGAAACTTTAAAATATAATCAGATCCTAGGCAACCACCACTATTCCACAATGGATGTTGGAGATTTTTATTTCTTTTTACTCCCCAATCCTTGTCAACATATTTGAAAAACCTAACAAAACATATTGTACTAAAGAAAAATAATTGGATTACATTGATCTCCAATTTTATGGAGGGAAGATTCTTCCAAGGGAAGAATCTTGCATTACACCATGGAATTAGATATGTAAGTGCAAGATGCAAGCTTGATAATAATACAAGTGGAATGGAAGAGGAAATCAGGTACATAATCTGTAAAACATACTCGATCCTTCTGAATTGATAAAATCAGAAATGACCCATCAGTTCTCAAAGAAAAAAATCTGCCCTGCTGTTCTCAATCTGCTTACTTTTTCTCCCCAGGAATCTCGATGTACATCTTTTCTCTGATAGAGGTATGCAGCTCCAGCCACATGTGCTGCTGTTTGGGCCAGGAATTTGGGCTTCCTGTTGGGCAGGATCTCATAATCATACATGATATCCATCTTCTGGTCAGCAAGACTCTGGAAAGAAGAGTTTCTATTACAAGTGAACCTGCAACGTAAAGGAATAGTGGCTGCAGATATGTGTAGAAATGTAAGAAGCATTTCTACAAGCTCCTGCCTCATCTAATGATATGAAATGGTGATGAAGAAGTTACAGCTTCTGGTAAGATTTGAAGTACATGGCATTGTATTCTCTCAGATATCATTGATTTTTAGCTTGGGATTTCAGAAATTATTTCATCAATCCCTTTAAGAAATTCATAGGCCTTCTCATGCATAAAAGAAGTAAGACCTTCAATAAGTGGTTTATAAACAGTGCCAAAGTTTTTTTTTTAAAGTCTCCACACAAAGGTTTTGTTATTTTTTGTTTGCATACATATTAAACTGAGGCAGTTGAATGATATCAATTTGAATTAACATTCTAAACATTGGAAGGTGGAGAAACAAGAAAAACTACTCTGAAGGGTCAAATTTATTGGTAATTACATTTGTATAGCACTAACTTAACTATAGCTAAGCAAAGTCTACCACTCTATCACAAAGTCCATCTGGGTGGTTATAATAGGTAGACTGAAGCAAACTGAAGCAAAGCAAAGGAAATTATCCTATGCTAGAAACTTAACAACCATAATTGCCTCTGTGCGTAGAAGTAACCACTCAACTGATATGTGTATAATGGAAAGCTGGGTTGTTAAGTTTGCACACCTGTCAAACCATCTTCAAATTTGAACAAAAGGCATAAAAGGTAAAATCATGTCACATGACATAAAGGCACTATGATGATGGAGTAATTTATTTAATTATTTATAAATTTTATCGGCTGCCCACCTCATCTCAGTGTAACTCTAGGCAGCTTACAATCATGTTATTGCTTATAAAAGAATCAAATAATAAACTCCACAAAGTCTTTCTGCCAATTGCATCAGCATATTGTGAGTTTTGTACAAAGATAATAACTAAAACAAATGTCTGAGGCAACTATTTGCTCCACAAATAATTTCCTAAGAAAGTGATATACTTGTCCAGAAAGATAATTTTCTATGTCCCTGTCTCTTATTATATAGAAAAGCATATTTAAGTTGTTACATTTGAAAACAACTTTGTTTTCAAGAATGATGTTTGTTTGTGTCTGCTTGCAGATATAGTTAAATAACGTTCATCTTTGTACTAGTTTTTTTTCCTCATCAAAATTTCAAATATTTAGAAAAATTATCCTTCATCTTTAGCCAAAAATGAATTAAATCATCTCTGTGTAATATCACCACACAGTTCCCTAATCCCAATAAAATTAAAAACATAACCATGATTTCTACAAATTAAAATGCAATCAGAACTATGAAAGATATGCAGTCTCTTTTATTTAGGTTTTTAGTGATAAAAATGTAAATGTGTGCTTCCCTAATGTGCAGCAATGTGACTCAGTGTTTTTTTTTTAATTTTTGGCAACTTTAAGATGTGTGGGCCTTAACTCCCAGAATTCCCCAATGAGCTAACCTAATGGGATTACCATATCCGTTAATTATTTTCATGGACATACCAGAGCAATCATATATGAATTACAAAATTCCAGCTTACAAAGAGATGGCAGCAAAGAGATACAGAAAAGCCTGATTCTTTCTTGTCATTCTAATCTATCTGTGATTATTGGATTCTTGGGCCTGATAAGTGCTTTGTGGTCTGTAAAATGCCAACTATATATTGTTTAATTTTGCCATGTGGTATTCTACTCTTATTCATTCCCATAGTAACAATCTCATACTGCCTTTCAGACTGATAGCTCCAGATATATAGGACTAAAATTCCCTTAATCTCTGGCCAGGACACCCAGATTGTAGACAACTATAGTAAAGACTAGTCAATAAGACTTCCATTTCTATAACAGAACAAATGTTGTAAAATGCTTCAAGGTCCTTTGCTGATTAATTCTATTCATCTAGCTATTTTATTTTCCCAACTCACTCTAAAATATGATTTTTTTAAATTATGACACCTAATAGGAACACAATTAAACAGCTAAATAAAAGACATGAATTTTCAGAGCTAAATATCAAAATAAAAAAATACCTGTATTTCACTGGCATATGCTTAGTGTTTTTAAAAATTCAAATGTAGTATTGTTAACCTTTTACAAAAAAGCAACTTGTCACTAAAATTGGCCTTCTGTAGAAAGACTGGAAAACAGAAAAAGAAATACTGATTTATTTTTTTTAGAAGAGACAAAGAGTTTGCTAACCTAATTCTATCTTGCCTAGATGTGTGAAAAGCATTATGGTATTAAAACTAGACATTAAGTTTTAATGGTATTAAATTTTATGGTATTAAAACTAGATATTAAGAGCAAGAAATGAGAAAATGTTGATATGTAAGGACAAAAATTGCATTTATTTATTAGATTTATATTACTATTCATCCAGCAATTCAAAGTGACATAGATAGTATCATGTTTCCTCTCTTTACCTTTTCTCATAGCAATACCATATGAGGTAGAGAGGGCTGAAAAAAGTGAGTGACCCAAAATCACCTAGCAAGATTCTGTGGTTAGGAATGGACCAGAACCTGGGTTTTCTGGTCTGCACCATCATACCCCACTGGTTCTCAGAATAGTTCACAGTAGGAGTTGGCTTAGATATGGATACAACTCATAAATATGTTCATCCATTGATATTGGCTAAATGAAGATTTAGACACATTAGCTGAGATTGCTGAACATACAAAACTATGCTATACTTCACAGTTTCATGAATAAGCTACAATTGATCAGATTAACAATAATGTTAAGCCATGCACTAGAGTTCAGGAACAGCGCTCTTGTAGGCTTGCTTATCGAAGCAGGACATCATGATCTGGTTCAGAAAAAGCATTGCCAAACCATGCCAGCATTGTATTTATATGCTGAACTCATGAGTTTGCCTTTGAATAAATATAAATAATAGGCCTTACGTGGATGTAATGGCTATCTACTGTTAGAATAGGATACTGGATTGAGTCTTGCCATAATCAAGCAGGTCTGTTTTTGTATTTGTAATGGAGAAGAGACAAAAAGGGGGAATGGATTAGTCTTACCTCTCTAATCATCGAGAGATGATAAGAAATGCATTGATCCACTGGATCGTGAATCTTCTTCAGCAGCTGTTTCTTCAGAAAGGGTTTGAATGCCTTGTCAAACATAGCAGGAATGCTAAGTACTACAAATGCCAGAGTATCATCAGAGTACCGCAGATGTAAAGTTGTAGGAAGAACCTCATTGTACCATTTTACCTTCAGGAGAGAAGAAAAAAATGTTATTAGAATAGGAAGACTGGCATCTAAGAATGACTGGATGGCTGAGTCTGGATACAGGAAGTTTCATTGTCCAAAAAAAAAGTAGCAGTTAATTTTTTTTTCTACAAGCAAAAGATTAAGGATATCTTTACTCCATAATCTGGTGCTATGGGATGTATTTAAAAAAAGACAGGTAAGCATACATAAATTGAACATCAGCTGCATATTTTTCCTAAGATTCAGTTTTCCAAAATGGAAAGATTTTCAACTATCTTTCAAGGCCTGGATAGAAACAGAAAGGGTAGAAACAGAGAAATGGGAAGCTGGTTTGCATATTAGATTTACTTATTAGGCTAATACTAGAACTAGTTATACAGAATTAAAGTGTGGAGGAGGGAACTAAATAAAACAGTAATCATATTTCAACCTAATTAGCTAATATAAGCTTTTAACAGGATCACTGGTATTCTTTTTGATGCATCTGTATTAATGAACCAAGCAGTTCTCCACCACGCTGCTTTGAGAATCCAGCATTGGGATATGACTCCGCCCTCTGATGTCATAGAGCTGAGTCTACCACTATAAAAAGCCAGCCTCTGCTGAGAGCCCCAGCTTTTTGACTCAGCTCTTGTAACATTAAGAGCTGTTGTCTCTGGAAGCATAGTTAAATCAGCAATCTCCTAACAACAACGAAAGCAAAAACAGTGACTATATACCATCAGCGTAGCTCCCGAGGCTCAGGTAGAGCTATGCTCGTGAGGAGAGCGGGGATCCGTTCTCTTCCGCCGGTCAGCTGTCCCAGCAGGGTGCTGACAACCTGACAATAAGTGCGGCCTGGGAGAGAGCTGCGGATCCTCCAAGCCAGCAAAAATCCTCGAGGCTTGTTCTTTCACTGCTCAGCTCCTTCGCCATTCTATTGAGGTGCGCTGCTCACAAAGAGCATTTACACCAGGAGACTTCCCACGCGGTTGTCTGTGGCACGAGTCTCCCGGAGTGCAGAATTAGGCCTCAGAGAGCCCAGTCATCAGTTAGCCTCCCATGTGGTCCCCCAGCGACACTAGGTCCGTTCTAATTGCACCTTCCAGCTAGTGTTTAGACACAGAAAAGCGGACCATTTTCAGCGTAAGGCAGCGTTTCAGGCAGACAGAATCTTCCCAGCCCAAGGTTCCAAGATTTCAGGCCTACTTGCGAAGCTCCTCATACAGGCCTCTGGCCTCATGGTTGGAGGCCATTTTAGGATCGTGATCTTTCAGGCACCATTTTGATTGGGCCTCAAAGCAGTGATCCATTCTCTCTGGCCTCCATCTCGGAAGGCACCCTGTGGAGGAGCTGATAGCACCTCCGGTGTTTTTTCTAGAGTAATGGAGAATAACTGGGCCCAGTCAGGACCATCAGGCATGCAGGCCATCCAGGGCCCCGAAGTCTCAAAGAGGCCTCTAAAGAGAAGATGGCCAAGAGTCCTTTCAGCCAACAGGGAGGCAGCAGCAAAGATCAGGACTAAGACCCTTGCCCCCAAGAAAGCTTCGAAATCAGAACTTAGGGCAGAAAAGCGGAGCATGCTGCCCTAGAAAAACAGTTTACAAAAAAAAATTCAGCAATTGCAGGAGCAAGGGTTTTCGCAGTCAGGAGAATCTCAGGCCTACACTGACCAGGCCCCAGGAACTGGGGGGTCAGCTGGGAGTTCAGCAAGCCATTTTCAGGCTTGGTCCCCCGAAAGGCCGGATGAGACCCTTCCCCAGGACCTCAGCAGGTCTGGACCCTGTTTCAGGCCTGCTCGTTGGGATACTGGTAGGCACAATCCTCAGTGTTTATTGCCCCAAGGGGGATATACAGGCATAGGGCGGAGGCATCTTTTACCCCAACTGCGGCTGGGCTCCATCGCATGGCCCCTCCCCCAGAAAACAAACCCCAAGATATCCAAGTTATGGTCTCTGTGGCAGTCAGGCAGGGCATTGCTGAGGGATTCCAGCAGCTCCTCCACCCATGGGAGGGCTAGTATCCTCTCCTCCTTCTGTCAGGGAAACCCCCCTCCTCAGAGGGAAATCTCCAATCCTATGGAGCTCATTTATTCCTCCCATCCTTCTAACTGGGGAGGACAGGAAGATAGAGGATCCTCGTACCACTCAGAGCAGAGCAGATCCTCAGAGGAGGAGGAAGGGATATAGCAATTGATTTATTGTCAGTCTGTGTTAATTGATGGGGTCCAACCTACCATCATATGGTTCTAACCTATGCAAGTCTTGTACTCTAAATGGAACCCCAAAAGACTTCTATTACAAGGGCTCATCTCAGCATTAAGCTCCAATGAGAAAAAGGATGCTAATTCCTGTTATTACTTCTGTGATGGACCATGTAATCTCGTACCAGAAAAAAAACATAAAGATGCTATTCTGCTGAGGCAAGAACTCGTACAGCCAAGAAACCATGGAGAGTAAGTATGCATTTAAATAAATAAAAAGTTGTGAGAGATTATTCAAATGATGTAAAAAGTCATGGTTGCACTAATTCATAAAATTTACTTTTGACGTAACATGTCACATTACATTTGCAAATCACTGATTTGGGGTTATGTGAATCCAGCTATTATATCTTATTTAACAAACCACAAATAGTACATTATGTGAACTGACAATGAACAACAGATGAATGTTAAGTGTTTGGTCTCGTTTAGTGAAAAATCACCACTTTATACAATCATAGCTTGGCACCTACAATTGGACCCATGGCATGATACACCCATTATATATTTTCCTTTCTACAACCTTCTTCCATCATAAGTGCAGGAAGGAGCTGCCTTTTTTGCCTCTAAAATAATTATTTCTGTCTAGGTTTGACTTTAGTCATGTTTGTTACCTTTGACTTTTATTCTTTCTATATTTCAGCTTGCATTGACTGTTTCTTTCCTAGCGTACCATCCAATAAAATTATTAGCATTGAGTCCTAGAAAAGTACTATGCTTCTTTTAATTGCAATCTAGTCTTCCCTTTCTCTACTGAGGCCCTTCTTTGATGAATCTGAATTCAGAGATGCTAGGTGTCTGTGTGCACTCTCAAATATATGATTATCTACAAAAAGTGCAATGCCAAACCAGGTTGAGTTTCCATAACCCATTAGACAAAATGTGGTTAATTAATGTGTTATATATTTTTATGACTATCTTATTATTCAGTGAGAAGCCAGCTTTTGTAAAAGAATTTAAACCTGTTTAGAGAGCAGTACTGCCTTGCATTTTGATGGCTTCATAAAAAAAACAGTGTTATATAGAACACTATGACTGTGTGTACAGTTGATGTTCTGTATATTAATAGCATAGTTGGGCCTACTCATGTGGTAGGGTTTCTGTAACCGATGCCCTAGCATTTGTATAGGTATTTATTGGTTTGGTTTGGCTAAGCCAAACTGTAATATAATTACTCCATATTATCATTGGCTGGCAACTGTTGTGGCAAGATAATAGGGCTGGTTGCCTTGCTGATTTTGAAGCACTGAAATTCTACAGAACTGGCTTCACGTTCCTATTGTTTGCACTATTTTTTAAAAAAAAAGTATTTGGCACAATTTGTCGGGCATGTTGTATCCTCTAAATAATTTGGAGAATGATTGCTCATATTTGGTAGCTTATAATTAACTTGATTGGAAAAATATCTATTTGACTTGTTAGAAAATGCAGATAAGATACTTCCCCTTTAAACCCTTTAAATATGTCTTTTACCTCTTCAAATGTTAGAAGACAACTAGAAACAGCAATTTACCATGCTGAGATTACTGTATATACAATTTTCTTTTGATTGCCCAGATTATTCAATTAATAGCAATAGCTCTTAGACTTATATACCACCCCACAGTACTTTACAGTACTCTCTGGACAGTTTACAATGTCAGCATATTGTCCCCAACAATTTGGGTCCTCATTTTTCTGACCTCCAAAGGATGGAAGGCTGAGTCAACCTTGAGTCCTGACAGGATTGAACTTGGGCAATTACCTGGCAATACTGCATTCTAACCTCTGTGCCATGTTAAATTATAACTGGGACCTGCATCTATGCAAATTATTTACCTCCTCAGCATTAGTGTTTAACTTGCAAGACAGTGCTAGTTGATATTCATTTCCATATAAGCTATTATTGGCCATATCTCCAATTTTATATTAATTTGCATTCCCTTTCAATGCCACAGTTTTGATAGTTCTTAGCAAAGCAGCTTCTACCAAGTGTTTATATGTCACATCACACATTATGTGATCAGTAGTTGGCTTAATCATATTTTTGTCAGGTAATATTGAGTTCACATTCTGTGCTACATCTCAAATCAGAAGTCCACAACCTAGAAGTCCACAACCTCATTAAGGCCCACAAAGACTTTATTGTAGTTCCCAGAAATCTTCAGAAATTGTTACTAAATTATCATTTTAATATGACAACAGGAGCCAATTATTAACCACATGACTAAACCCAATATGGCACTCTAAAGCCCTTGGGTTTATCCTGTCAAAAATCACCTGTATTAAAGCTTATTTGATACCACACACTAAGACAAAATCTGATAAACTATAAGTGGGACTAAATGCTTTTTATGAACTTGGTTTATATAATATTCAGAACATGTGTTTTTTACCGCATTAGATAATTGTGTAGCAGTATCCTAAGAAAGAAATTATGATTTACAAATTGCAGCCCCAATCAAGCCACATCGTGGTTCAGAATTCTATAACCAACGCAATCTGAAGAGACCATAACAACAATAAGCAACTGAGATTTTGTTCCCAATCTAAGCAAAAGGATTCCTTGATATATAAAAAGGATGCTGGATTGCCAAGCAGCATTTGAAATCAACAGTTCACTGGTTTTCTCAAGCTGTGTATCTTTCTCAACAGATCTTTAAATGGAACAAAAACTTCAAAAAGGAAATCCATAATTGAACTATGGATTAAGAAATAAAGCATGACATGAAGTTAGCGATATTAGAGAAAAAGCTCAGAAAAAACGAATAACACAAGATTAATTACATCTGTGTAAATGAATTGGAGAAAAAATGATGAAAGAGGTAACTTGCCAGTTTGATCTATTTATTATTTGCACCATTCTCATACAACAGCATTTCCTAATACAGGTAGTCCTAAACTTACAACTATTCATTTTTGACCGTTTGAAGGTTACAACAGCATTGAAATAGGTGGCTTATGACTATTTCTCATGAGATGGTTGCAGCTCCCCATGGTCACTTGATCAAAATCCAGGTGCTTGGCAACTGGTTCATATTTATGGCAGTTGCAGTGTCTCTGGGGTCATGGGATCGTCATTTGCAACCTGACAAGTCAAGTCATTGGGGAAGCCAGATTCACTTAGCAAACTGTGTTACTAACTTAACATCTGCAGTGATTCACTTAACTGTGGCAAGAAAGGTCATAAAATGGGGAAAACTCACTTAACTGTCTCCCTTAGCAACTGAAATTTGGGGCTCAATTGTGCTTGGGAGTTTGACGACTACCTGTATCTCACCTAAAAATTGCAAAATTATGCTGCAGCAAAATGTTCTGATGCCTCATATATTGTTTCTACGAATATTAAAAGATTGCCTGCCAATTATATCACATATGAATGCCAATGTGTAATTTAAATATGTCCAATCTGTAGAAAAGTACAAAAAATAAATAGTAAATCAGTAATCGCCTTGTCTGTCTCTCTGTCTCTCTCTCACACACACACACACACACACAAAACGACAGTTATTCCTTAACATTATAAGCACTGCAAAACGTCAAGGAAAGGAAACCCTTTTTAGATAGTATAGTATATAGAGCTGTATTGGTCTACAGTGCAAAAACATCAGAAATCTGGTAGCACCTTTTCCGACTAACACGTATTTTGTGAACTACAACTAAAGCCTTTCTGCGTGACAGTACAGCGCATTAAAAAGTATATGCCGATCTCTCCCTCCTTAACTGAGCGCTCTAGCTCCTAACGTGCCCGCGGTACCTTAAACGGGTAAATCTCAAAACCCAGATTTTCCAGGAGATCTCGGATCTTTCTCTCCAGATGGACCACATGTAACTCCATAGTGCTCGATCGCCAGGTCCTATGGGAAATGTAGTTTTCGCGGCGCACGAAACGCCCTCGCCCACATGCCCGGCGTGGCGAGAGGGTGTAAAGCGATCGGGGGCGACTGCAGACAAAAAGTCTTTCTTCCGAGTGTCCCGCGACTGGCTACGACGAGCAACGTCTTCGGTGTCTCCGGGACATCCCCGACTGCGGCCCTGCCGCTAACGTCCCCGCTCAGAGTTAATCAACGGGACGCCCGGATTTTCCCCGTCCAGAAGCCTTCGCGGCGTAGCGGAAGGCGGAATCGGCCAACCTCAGGCTCTTCGCCGCCCGCGGAGGACGCGCTTGAATCGGCGCCGAGACCAGGGCCCCCGGGAGGTCGCGGGCGAAGACTGTTACGGCTCTTTCGCTTGCTGGCGGTTCTCAAGCGAACGTGAGCAGAACCGTCCTGAGTTTTGGCGGAGCTGAGCGGCGGCTGCCTCGTCTTTGGGTCGTCGCCTAAAAAGCCTCTTAGGCCGGTTCCGAGTCTCCCCCCGGATCGCTCAGGTGACGGCCGAGGGTGAGCGAGGTTAATTGGTGAAAGGCGCCTTCCCCAAATGCCGGCCTGGGTCACGGACTCGGCCTGAGGCAGCTTAACTGGGTAATTTCTGAGGGAGAGTCGGTGGATGTAATTCCCCCAAAGGAGGCCGGCTTTGAAGCAGTTGAGGCGGGTAGGGAGGGGAGAACCGTGTCGCTCGTCATCCATTTAGATTTACTTATTGGTACAATGGCTGCGGGCTCCGCACTTCTTCCCTGCCGCTATTGGTTTAGAGGGGGGAAAGCAGGTGGAGTCAACCCGGTGGCGCGAAGGGTAGACAAAAGGGTGGCTGCTTCTTTCCTGTGTGCTCTCAACTTGTCCTCTCTGTCTGGTCTCTCAGCCCGCCCCCCAGGTAGATCACCATGTGGGAGGAACAGAGAAATGAGCATTTCCTGCAGTCCTGGGGTTTTGGGGGGGACAAGCGTTCCCATTTCTTCTTTTGATGCCTCTCACTTCCCTCCCTTCCAATTGACATGTGGAAAAACAGGTTTCTTTTACGATTGCACCTTATCAGGAAAATGCTACTTAAATAAAATCTCTGCATGCAAGCCTGCTGGTAAGATGCCAATACGGGACAATTCCAGAGGTAATTCTATGAACTCAGCCAACTAGAAGTATTATTGAGTTCAGTTCTGCTTTTCCCTGTCATAAGAACATATTTATTGTGTTGTGTAAAGTACTCGAAAAAGAATTTGTTCCCCAGTAGAAGCAACTTTATTTTTTCCTGCATGTAAAAAGAGGTAGCAATACTCAGTTGCTCTTTAAAAAGGAACCCACTTGGATGGTTTTACCTTTTGATAAGAAAGATTGTTCTGAAGCATGCATTTAAAATCTGGATCTGATTCTGTGATTTAAAGAATGCTTGTGAATCCCTTTCCCGACATGAAAATGTCACTGTAGTATTTCAGTCCATTTTATTGAAATGCATCTCAGATATTAACATTTCTTGTTACAGTACTTGGTTGTGCTGTTTGGTTTGTACATCAATATTAATAACATTTTAAAACTCTTTTCATCCATTGAACATTAAAAGAGATATTTGTCACATATTATTTTGCATAGTTCTCCATCCTTTTTTAGACCTTAAAAAAAGAAAACTGGAGAGTATATGTTTATATTACTTTAACGGTATTTTCTATATTGGGTATGCTTCAGCTGCTCTACAGAAAATTTACAGTGGATTTTATACAGAACAATCTGCAGTTTCAAGTCTGCATCCTGTGATGACTTTGTTGTGTGTGCTGCAATATATTTTTGTGAAGATAACAGAGGAAAATAAACATTTTCTCTGACTGCTTTTGCAGATATTCTTTTTCTAGCCAAAGATTTTCCCAAGGTTACAAATGGGTAACCAGTGGATTTCTAAAAGGCATCTTTTCCTCAACAGCATGGATTGGGACGCACGCCTCAGTTCTATATTGGTTGAAACAGACAGCAACATGGCCAAAATTAAGGCAAGTTAACCTGCAGAGCAATATATTGTTTTTCTACTCTGTTGGTGAAAAATATTTAGTGCTTGAGTATTCTATTTGGATGCACACACCTATGCTAAACATATACTAAATATGTACTAGTAGATACCTTAAGAGATGTATTCTGTTAAGTGAAAGGATGTTGGTAGTTTCCTGTCTTTAATACTGTAGCTTTTGACTACGAAGCTTTTCAACATTGTTAAATAGCAGCTACTAGGCAGGTGAACAAGTTATAATAAATGACAAAAAGAGAAAGGATAAAGTGTTTAATTGAAGCTTGATTTCTGGTGACTTTGTAGGGACATGTATATTCCAGTACAGTTTGTTAGCAAAAGTACATAAGTTGTTTTTAATTGTTTCTTCTAGAGACTCTTTTCAGCTTTCCAAGCACTAGCCTGGAAAGTCCACAGCATATATTTTGTGATAGTTTCCCATCCAAGTACATGGTAACATTGTTCAGCTACATGCTGCCATCTGTATTGAGGTCATATTTAAATACTTGGATAGTGACTAAAGGGACCAGTGTTTTAATGCTCAGTTCAAACAATAGAACAACATGACAACATTTTGGACAAGCTTTGACCTTTACATTTGGATGGAAAATGTAACAAGTGTTGAATACCTCTTCCTGACTTGTGGTTCTCATTAGATTTGTATTGAATTAATTATGTAGACTCCTAGAGACTTATCAAGATTTAAGTTAAGCTAAAGGCTTTCTTCAGTAAAACAGTTGGAGAACATGTGGCCCTCCAAATGTTTGCTGAATTGCAGCTGTCATCAGTGGTATGAAAAAGTGCTGGGGAGCTGACAATGTAGTTTATCTGGTCTGGGTTATCTCAGAGAAATCTTCATCCCTTATATATGTTCATATAGTTAGGGATTTACCAACAAACCATGTATCAGCTTAACATCTAGTCTCCAGGAAAAAATACTCTTTACGAATTGTAGAATTATGAAACACCTTGCCTCTAAGATACAAAAAGAGACTACCTTGTTTGCAAAGTGGTTATGTTCTGAGAAGTCTCAGGTAGTACAATCTCTGCTGGGCCCTTTTGATCAGTCCTGCAATGTGGGCACCCCAGGTCAGGTCCTCTTTTATGGTATCACCCAGAAACTTAAAACTGGCTACTTGCTCCACTCGGTCTCAATTGATAAGCAAGGGCTGGATGTCTGATCTGTTCCTTCTATAGTCCACTATAAGTTCCTTGGTCTTATTGGTATTGAGGACCAAGTTACTGTCTCCACACCACAAAAGCAACAGGTCCACCTCATCTCAGTCGGTAGACTCATTCCCCTGGAGATCATCTGTTGTATCATCTGCAAATTTAGTAATAGTATTACTAGCGTGAGTGAGAATGCAATCATGCACATAAAAAATATAGAGCAGGGGTAGGGAAACTTGGCTCTTTTATCACTTATGGACTTCAACTCCCAGAATTTAACAGTCCCATTCAAGTCAAAAATTGATTTCCCCCACAACTGAAAAACCACTAGGGCAGGGATGGGGAACCTTTTATGGCTCACTCAGGAATTCTGGGAGTTGAAGTCCATAAGTGATAAAAGAGCCAAGTTTCCCTACCCCTAGTATAGAGTAAGGGATTCATCATGTACCAGTGTTAAGAATAAGGGCTGAAGAGGCATGATTATCTAATCTGACCCTCTGTGAGCGGCCAGACAGGAAATACATACTCCAAAGGCAGATTGAATAAGAAAGTCTAAGGTCCAGAAATTTAGACACTAGTCTACGTGGAAGTGATATAATAAATGAAAACATTATATCTTATACTTTTTGTACCAAGTTTTTGCAAAACGTTAATGATACTAAAGATTCAGATTTGATACCAATTTACAGTTGCATTTGTTTCATAATTCCAAATTGTGTTTTTAAATACGTGGCAACTTTCTAATCATTCTTTTTCTTTTGCAGAAACATCTCAACACAGACAACATCTCTTCCAAAGGTAAAAATGATCGACATGTTCCATATATTTTCAGAACATCTTTTAGAAAATAGAGATTTTTATAATTTCTTGATTGCAAAAAGTTTTCAGGAAGGGGAAGAAAAACCCTCTTGCTAGAATTCTAATGGTAGCTTTCTTCAGATTCAGGGGAGTATATTTTTCTTTTCTTTTTTTAAATAAAAGTTTTATTTAAGTTTTCACAAAACATACAAATACAAATAAAATATTTTTTTTTGAGAACAGCGTGGCCCCAGGTTATCACTTCTCCATACAGACATAAAGACAATACATATTTATCTTATACATTTTAATCCATATCTTATAACTATTTTCACAATTTTTTCAATAGCTTTTCCCTTTCTTTACTTCCTATAGCCTTATTTTAAATTATCTCATTCCTTTCTTAATTCAATTAGATATCTTTTTCTAATTTTTAAAATCTTTCTAATCAATGTTTTTATACTTTCGTCTGTCCTGTTTACAATTTTATATTACCTTTTCTCATAAAACAAATTTTCCCCTGTAATTACTAGACTGGAGTGTAACACCTTTGTATCTTTTTTCAAATCTTATTTAAAAATTTAAGTTACATCTTTACAGTTATAACATTCATTTTCTAAACTATTTTATAACACATACCTATTTTCAATCGAATTCTGCTTGGTACATTCCCTTAAAATACAAACTAAATTCTTAAAACAAAAAAGTATATATGTATATATATCTGTATGGTGTTCGGCTTGGTTCGGGTATTTTCCCACGTCATTGTAGTTCTTTTAAAGTTGTAGCAACGTTTCAGCAGAATCTCATCTGCCATCATCAGGCTTCTGTATTGTGTCCGTCTGTGAGTCAGACTTTTACAGTGGTTTCAGATTTGAATTTTGGGCAGCCTATTGTATATATATCTGTGTATACATGTATAACAATAGTAAATGGAATAATTATTCTATTCAAGTACAGCTTTGCCATTAATATTAATAACAATCTTTTACATTTCTATTTCTTTTAACAAACATTACCTAGTAATATCAGTTGTCTTTCACTTTAATCA